CAAAATAAAAAACAAGAAGTATTTTGTAGACAAGTCCATACACCCTGGAACTTTGATGTTATATCTTTTGTCTCAATCAGACTCAGAGATGGGTCTAGCCATTAGGCATGGGGTCCTGCATCTGCATTGAGGAATGTCCATATTCTTGACAAGTCTCATAAATGCTGGCATAATTAGCGTCTATCATTCCAAACGAAAGCACCATGCACAGATTCACCACCTCACATCTAGTCACCCACAAGCCAAATGTTACATCTTACTGCACCACACCTACAAGTCCACATGGGATATTTATCATCAACTCCATGGTAACAAGACAGTAAATTTTAGTCAGTTTTTTAGGTAAAATGATTGGTACATATATCCACTATTGGGATTTGATCACAACATTATTTGAGATATTATCTGCTTTCATCCATGAGTTTTACAATTTTATTCTCAAAAGATTGTAAGTAAATTAAGGTAGTAGTCCCTACTTACTGACAATATCTGCATTAAACCATCAAGAAAATTAATGTCAGGTTTTCTCCACTCCATTAATTGGGACAAATTTGCTTCAGAAACTGATTTGGTCAATGGACTGTCCAGAAGTCCTGCTCACATGACGATACTCTGAGGGGTCAAAATCCTTCCATCGTCTGCAGGTAACTGCTTCTGAATTCAAGAAAATGAAGCATCAGCCACATTAAGATATCATAGAATAATAGAACTGTTGTCTGTTATCATTGAACCCTAACATAATGCAGGAAGAATCTGTGACTACAATAATGGTACAGAATAAAGTTGCAAAAGCCTGTTTAAGAATAGCAAACCCCTGAATTACCATGGAAAGGAAAAGATGGAGCCAAACACCAACCCTTTTCTGTGATATTCAGCACAATTTAATGAAGGTAAGCAAACAAAATATGGTATGGTTAATAAACATGTGAAGATAAAAACAAAATAAACTTGGTTTTTTATCTACTCTCCTCTTTTTCCTTCCCTCAAATGGAAGCTAAACGGTCAACAATTTGTCTGTAGCAAAAATGGAATATAGAGGGACCATGACCATTAGCAGTTTTGGCTGGAGAAGTCACGGGAATTGTTCTGGACCTTCAGCATCCTGCAGACTGTAGTACTTCTATATCGCTTCTTCCATCCGTTTCCACACTTTTGTTTCCACACTTTTGTTTCATGTACATTACTACTCTTCTATCTCGAGAAACCAGTATTACTAACAACTCTATGGCTTCCGTTTCACCCTCTTATTCTTCTATCTCGGGTTTATCTGGTGTTCATGATAGATCAGATCTTGAATCCATAAGGGTTCTTGTCTTTTCAGTCAATCAGTACATTTTTGAGTTGATAGCAAATGCTGAAACATGGAATTGTCTTAAGCTGAAATGCAATTCTAGGCTAAACATTCAGAAGCAGGAGTTCTTTGAGTTCTCCGAGCAGGCAGTCCTATCAAATCTTTATTGGGGTATTGACAGCATTGAAGCAGCATTTCAAGCAAAGTGGCCTGAAGAGAAAACTAGTCGCCTCAGTAATTCAGAGAAAATGCTTCAAGTACCTGCATTGCTCGACGAGCATGGAGTAACAGCTGGAATTTCAAATGATTATTTAATCAGTTGCTCCTATTTCTACCTCTCTGTTGTGAAGAGTCTCCAAGCAGATCAGTGGCAGGCTGCACTGCATTTTCTCCAAGCAGTATTGGTCTCGCCTACACATGTTCGAACAGAATTTGTCCCAGAACTGTGTGAAATCCTTTTTCCTCCGTCTGTTTCATGTGACATTTCAGAAATGAATGGAAGGAAACAGTTGCAGTATGTTTCTGTCAAGAACTCTGGTGGCAATGATATCAACAAATTGATGGTTCAGATGGCAAGGAGATACAAACACTGGTTAATGTATTACCAGGTCATGCTATGTGAGAAGACCACACATTCTCAATCTGGATGCAAAAGTATTCTGTCTCCTGCTTTTGAATCAGAATATCTAATGTAAGTTTTTCATCCAAAGCTTATTATATAGCACAATACCAGATAACAAAAAACTTGACATTTCATTTTCATAGCTTAAGAAGTTTTTTTCCATGAAGAAGATTAGTATTCTTAGAATCTTTTATAACGATTTCAGAATCTCATTATCATTCTCTGAACAGGAACAAGCATGAGATATCCACAATTACAGAATCTTCAAAGTTAAATGACCATGGAAACAGCTTAAGAACCTATTGTAAGGTATGTCTATAGTTGCTTTTCCTTCCAGCATAAAAAGTGTATGGTTCTAATCATATTCTGCATATTAGCTTTCAGGGAAAAGTTTCTTCTCAAATAATATGAAAATTTTTGAACCTAAATTTTAATATTAACTATATTAAATGTGTAATGTAAAACATAATATGTATTGTTATGAAAAAATTGAATGCAGTATGAAAAGGTGAATCCACTTGAACCTCAAGAAGATGCAATTCATGGTATGACTGATGGAAGTAAGGCATCCAGCACAGTTCAAGAAAATCATGTCTGCACTAAAGCTATAAAAGAGTTGGATCAAATTTCGAGGTTACAACCTCAAAATTCAGTGCTAGATAGAAACTCAGGTACCAAATACCTTAAGGATATGCTGAAGGAATCCCAATCAGATACGGCAACTTCAGTGGATTCGTGGGGTATAGATTTTGAGGAAGAGAATGACTTGGAGGTGACTTTTCCTAAGACATTATCAACTGCCAAATAATATCAACGAAACCTATTCCACTTCTCATGTTTCTTCTTTGCCCTGCTTGTAGTTTTAATTCTTGGAAAGACAAAGTATACACTGTTCTCACTCATTTTTTCATGATTAGGCAACCATGGAGGAGACAGAAAGCTTGAAGGATAGTACAAAACTAAATGAAAACGATCATGGACAAGCAACATGTGATCAGTTCAGTACAAAATTGCAATTATGTCTAATTTATGATCAATGCTAACTTCAGAGAACATGAAAATTATACTGAATTTTCTTAATTCAATTTTACTGACCTTGACAGGCAGCTGGATCCCCCTTGCTACATATCAGGGCCAGAGTGCACAGAAATAATGCTCCTCCAGACTTCCGGACATCCAATTGAAGGAGAAGTCAGCAAAGCAAACATTAGAAATTATCATTCGGGCAGATTGTTGAGAACCATCAGTGATTTAAGTTTCCCTGTCCTGGAAGTAGGGGAGAAAGGGGAAAAGACCTTTTGCTATTTAGAAGATGTTAAGATGCTGTCATTGCAGCCACATGAAGTCCAGCTCTTTGAACACATAGCGCCAACATCTCTGCAGAGTAGGAGAGTGGCGCAGATGAATCAAGAGGGAACTGCTGTAAGGAAGAAGCAGAATTCATGTCGCAGGGAAGAATACAATGAAGTTTGTACACTTTCCAGGAAAGATTCCAAGAGTGAGTTATTGAAAATAATTGAGAATGCACTTTCAAAACTTTGTTTCTCAGATGCATTAGGGAAATCTGTTGATGATTATGCTATAGAAATCACAGCAATTTTCAACATGTTAAACACTAAAAAAGGAGTGAAGTACAGCATGCTAAAGGATGTGATTCTGGACCAACTGGTTACAGCTATTTCGACTTCCAAGAAGGAGATGGTAATGAGGACATCAGTCTTTACACTAGCAAGTATTGTTTCAGCAAACTGTTCAGTCATAGATTACATCAAGAAGAAGGGCTTGCAGTTAAGTGACCTAGCAAGGGCTCTAAAAGAGAATGTGCATGAGGCAGCTATTCTTATCTATTTGATTAAACCATCTCCTAAAGAAATAAGGACATTGGAACTCTTACCAACACTGATGGAGGTTATATGCACTTCATACAGTTATAAATGTAGCCTAAAATCGGTTCTGCTGACTCCTGCTGCAGCATCACTGATGATAATTGAAGTATTAGTGACTGCATTTGACAACGATACAAATAAAACCACCCTGGCTGCGATAAATTCCCCCAGTGTCCTTTCTGGGCTCCTCGATGTTGCAAGAATTCATAATCTGGAAGTGTATGTCTCTTTGGCCACAGTCTTGATAGCCTGCATGCAGTTTGATGGACGGTGCAGAAAATATATATCTCAAGCTATTCCCGTGGCTCCTTTTATCCAACTCCTACAAAGTGATGAGAAGCGTGCAATCTGCATAGCACTTGGGTTTTTTCATGAGATCCTCCAAATTCCACGGTAAGAAACATTACCTCAAAAACCATACATGATAGGAAAACTTGAGCAAAAAAACATCATGAATGATATGAAGAACTCATCATTACAACTCTACTTATAGTACATACATTAAAAGAAAGGACAAAATCTCAGTACTTAGAGGGACTTTTAAGATAAAATTATCTTCAATTTATTTTCCAGGTCATCAGCCATAAGTCTACTCCATCGGATATGCAAAGAAGGAAGCATTGATATTATGCAGATACTAATGCATCAACTTCAAGAATTGCAACCTGATTACCAACTTCTGGCAGCAAGTTTACTTCTTGAACTAGACACACTGGTAATCTTTTAAATTGAGCTTTGTAAATATAATTGCTTCTAAAATACCACTAAGAAGTGAGAAAATCTGAGAGGGAAAGTTCAATGTAATCTAACTCAAGTTCTTGGTTATCCAAAAAAGAAGCTATTAACTGAATAGATGGCTAATAAATCTGTGCAGGAAAATTCATCTGGTAAAACTGTGTTTGGAGAAGCAGCCATGGGGGTCCTCCTCACATCACTAGCATCTGAAGAAAACTCTAGCACACAGATATTGTCTGCATTCATTCTATCAAATATAGGTGGAACTTACAGTTGGACAGGGGACCCATACACAATAGGATGGCTGGTGAAAAAGGCAGGTTTGACCTCCTTGCACCACCGAAACATGATAAGAAACTTTGATTGGATGGATCTCAGCCTGCAGGTAAGATATTTTAAAAAGAAAATTTTTGTCTAGCTATTAGAGGGTAATGACATTAGGACCTTGGTTCCAAAGTGCCAAATATCATTTATTTGAAAACAATTACATGAACTTGCAGGATGTAGAAGTAGATTCATGGTGCAACAAGATTGCAAGAAGAATGATAGAAATTGGGAAACCTGTTTTTGATGCTTTAGAGAAGGGACTAAAGAGTAAGACAAAAAGAGTTTCTCGGGATTCTCTCACAGCTATTGCTTGGCTTGGTTGTGAAATTGCCAAAAGTTCAACTAGCCTCAGATATTCAGCATGTGAAATCTTACTTGCTGAAATTCAGAAATTCTTGCATCCTGGATTTGAGCTTGAAGAAAGATTTCTAGCGTGTCTAAGCATCTACAATTATGCTTCTGGCAAAGGTAATGTGCTTAGCCTAACACAGCTGTCTGTGGGTATCAATCTTTTAAAGAACCATAAGTGGCATAAGAGAAACATACAATCTATCCAATCCATAAATGAATTTTCTTTGTGTAGGGATGAAGAAATTAATTCATTTCTCAGAAGGAGTGTGGGAGTCACTTAGACGTTTTTCAAATGTAACCTGGATGGCAGAGGAACTGCATAAAGTAGCAGACTATTGTCTGCCCAACCGAACGGTTAGTATTCTGGATGGTTATAAAGTCATAATCTTAAAAGAACTAGGATATTGTTATTCTTTTTTTCTTGCCATTCAGACCTAAATGTTGAGTGCAGTGCAACAATCACATATAGCATGACCCTCTCAGTTTTCCTCCCCTCATTTCCTATTTAACATGTTAGAAACCTGACTGTCTAATGATACTATCAATCAAATATGAAACGGTTAAGCAAATGTAAGTAGATAGTATTAGATTTATATGAAATATCAATGCTGAATGAAGGCAGCATATCATAATTACAACCCCAACAGCAGAGAGCAAGGATATTTTAGAGAACAAATAAAGAAATGTTAAGTGAAATAATTCATGGGAGCAATGCATGTATACAAATATGAGAATAAATGATATATTGTTCAGGAAGAAGCGATTAGCAAAAACAAGAAAGTACCTTGTGGTTCAGCAGAGACACCTGTGGGAGTGGATAACATGTCACATCATCAATGTATTAGCAGAAACTGATAAAAAGGCTGGTAAAAAAAATCAATTTGTTAGCATAAAGGAAGCATTCTAGCTAGAAAATATTCGGCAATTCAAGATGGAATAAGTGTATTAATCATGTATGTTTGCAGTATCAAATATTGCCTTAACATCATCTTTCTAATGGTAAAAACAGCGTATTTCTTGTGTTCACACACAAACTCTGGAGGCAAGTAAAAAACACAGTGGAGCTGTAACCGCCCTCATCTACTACAAGGGATTGCTTTTCAGTGGACACTCAGATGGTTCAATTAAGGTTTGAAGTCTCATCACTACCTTTAGCTTAGAGTAATTGAATATAAATTATAATTGCTGTACATGAAGAACAAAGCATGGTAAAAAAGAGAGAAAGAGAACTGCAGTCTCAAGCTAGCAATATGCTCACCTGAAAGTAATAAGATTATGCAGCCCTTAACCAGTTAACTCATTCTCAACAACCAGAATGGGAGAATATTCTGAAATTATAATTTATTCCCTCTGGGCTTCCCTACAATTTCCTATGTTTAAAAGAAGAAGAAGAAGAAGAAGAAGAAGAGGGTATTCTTTTGTGGTGGAAAAGCTAATAATACTATGAGCATTTGTGGATTGAATAGGTGTGGGATATTAAACACCAATCAGCCTCACTTTTATGGGACATAAAGGAGCATAAGAAGGCAGTGACATGTTTTTCACTCTTTGAACCAGGGGATAGCCTTCTAAGTGGATCTGCTGATAAAACCATCAGGGTATGTTGAATTCTTCAGTTTTAAAGCCACCTTTTATATTTACCTAGATAGGTTCTTTTCCTTAAAGAAAAGCTCTCTCTTTTCTTCAGGTCTGGCAAATGGTTCAAAGGAAATTGGACTGCATTGAAGTTATAGGAACAAAAGAACCAATTCGGAAGTTAGACACATATGGCAAGATGATTTTCATGATAACTCAAAGTCACCGGCTTAAGGTAAAAGTAGACAAACACCAAGAAAAATGAGACTATAATATACCCCTCACTATACACAAAGAAGTGACCTGATTCTTATACTTTATAATGTTATGAAATAAGTAACTTAACCACAGATATTATTCTTTTGCAGGGAATTGATTCATCACGAAAAGCTAAGAATATCTGCAAGAGTAAAAATGTAAAAAGTATGAGGGTGATCCAGGGAAGAATTTATGCAGGCTGCATGGATTCAAGCATACAGGTTGGTTAAAGTTCTTGTTTGATGCAAATTCATGAACCAGTTGAAACCTAAAGTTACATATCACTCTTTCTAGGAGTTACCAATGACTGGTAACAATGAGCGCGAGATCAAAGCTCCAGCAAAGAGTTGGAGATTGCAAACCAAGCCCATCAATTCAATTGTTGTGTACAAAGACTGGCTTTACAGTGCAAGTTCACTTGTTCATGGTTCCAATGTTAAGGTAAACACCAAGAACTACAACTGAATATTTTATAAACTATGCAAGAACCTTCAATGAATAAAGGAATTGTTCAGGAATGGAGAAGACAATGTGAGTCCCAAATGACAATTTTACTTGGGAAAGGAACAAATATACTAGCAATGGAAGTGGTGGAAGACTTCTTATACTTAAATTGCAGCTCATCAACAAGCACCCTTCAAGTAAGCAGCTTGTGCATTCACGAACATCTCCATGGCACAAATATAAATAAATTTCTACATTCTCAACGTTTGGTAACATCTACTGCTTACATGCAGATTTGGTTGAGAGAAACACAACAAAAAGTGGGGAGAATATCAGCAGGTAGCAAGATAACAAGCCTACTCACTGCAAATGACACCGTTCTATGTGGTACAGAGACAGGATTAATAAAGGTTCACTAAACTAATTCAGCTCATCTATCTTTTAGATCCCTCTATCACAGTTTTTGCAACTATCTGATGGTTTTCATTCTAATTTTCAATTCTCATAACAGGGCTGGATCCCCCTCTAGAACAAAACTGCCAAGCATCAAAATCCAGCATACAATATATACTAAAGAAGAGAAAGACAACTACCAAATCATCATTGCAAATAGTTAGTTGAACTTTGAAAGAATGTTGTCATGTATACTAATTACATACAATAACGGTCATGAAATAATGCTGATGTTTATAGTTCATGGCACAGTTGAGCTACCATAAAAAAAAACAAGAGGTTGAAGAGGAGAATCCCACATAGAAAAGAAATATATTGATTTAAAGCTTTAAAAAAGCGTGGGAAGGTTGTGTGCCTGCCGGGTTTGGTAACGCAAGCCTATGACCCAAGTGGGGGCATTAAGTAATGGAACGTGGACTTAACCTGCCGAGTCTGGCCTGATGTGGCTAGTTTCTGGCCTGCCCGTTTCAAGCCTCGAGTGAGCCATGAGACTTCAGCGAAGGCTGTAGGTCCCCTGGCTCTTGGAGTGGAGGGCACTGCGTGAGGCTGGTTTAACAGAGCAGCGAAGACCTCCCGCTCGTGGCAGTGGAAGGATAACACGCCGGTGCCACTCAGGTCTGCCATGGCTTTGTGGGTTGAGTCTCATTGAACCATCACTTTTTCGACCTTAATTCCATCACCAGCAATTGATATGGTCATCATTGCTCTTAGGCTCATCCGTTTGGAATGGATGTAAAAAAATCAGAATCGGAAAAATCCCAGAATTCAATTGTTTAATTTCCTTAATTGCACCTTTTCATATTCATAAACATCCATAAAGGGGAATGTTCACAATTATTATTATATAAAAAGAACAGCTCTAGGAAGCAAAGAGGAACCCTTAATATAATACTTCAAAATTGCACTGATGAGGTCTTTGAACCATGGGATGTTGGATGCTGGTGCCCCAAATTTAAACCACAAAAAATTATTTTTTATAAATTATATAAAAAAAGGATAAAAATTAGAGTCAATACACAATTATATTTATAATATTATAATTATATAATTAATATTTTT